AAAACAAAGCAAACCCAACCGAAAAAGCTTTTATTTTGATTGAGTTATGGGACTTTTACCGAAAGCACTACTATACCCAAAATTTAAAAAATGCATGACAACCGATAGAAAAACGATTATTTCGCTGTGGCTTTTGATGTGAAAAAATTTGAAGTGTAGCTAAAAGACAGAGCGAAATCAGGGTTACAAAACGGTTAATTCAGTTTTTCTTACTTTCAAAACATCAACACAAGAAATCATTTTTGAGTTTAGGAAGTTTACATTTTTTTCGACTTTCGTCTATTTGGCTTAGTTTTCTTCATTGAAGTTCTGAAATTATAGTTTAGGTATGATTTGTAGAGTATTTCGCAGCGCATCTTTTAAAAAAAGCATCGAGTCTTGGAAACAAATCCAAACCAAGTTATAAGCAAAATACTGAGAGGGTCATTCTTTATGGCCTACCCGTTACACCATGTTTTACTCGGACTTTTCTTCAAGAACATGACATAATCAAGTTCAGGAAAACTAAGAGACAATCCTCAAGAAACTACTTTTCTATCTCTTTCCAAAACCCTGGAAAGCGAAGAAATATTATTACTTCTCTGTAATCTTGCTTTTCTTTCAAGTTATCAAACTGAATCCAAAGACACTAACAAGCACAAGTTTTAGGGTAAAACACTTCTTGGATAACTCACCTTTTTTTTGACAGATCGGATGCTGATTAGACCATGTTTTACTCGGACTTTTCTTCGAAAACACGATGTATTCAGCTCAGGAAAACAGTAGCAGATATATGCTATGCAAAAGTAGGCAGAAAATTTATGCTCACAAGTGTAAGCTAACAAAATAAGAAGTTTCTTGTGAGCATTCTGTTTAGTCTAGATAAGAATGAATATATCCCATATTCATCTTATATATATATAGTCCTTAATTTCTAGTAGTCTATATATAGATATATAGGGAAGAAAACAAAAAAGAAAAAACATATCTCGAAATTTTTGCTTTCTTGTCCTGTCCTAGTTTACACAAGCCACGTATTTTTTCTTTCTAATTTCCACACTCGCATACAAATACATGGAGTTTTTATGTCAAAAGGAAGATTTTTTTGCTCATCAAGTTGATCAAAACCTTCTCAATTTTATGTAGAAATACTCAGAAGGCTACGGGGAATCCAATCACATACTTTTTTCTCAAAAGAGCAGATGTTTTCATGCTCTTCTTCGTTGAAGAATAAATTTATAAAAAACACTTCTCTTGACAAATATATAATATAAGGCGTTTTTTTTAACCGTGCCACACTGGAATTTTTTAGTCATTTTTTTATTCCAAGAGTATATGATAATTTTGACTTTCAGGTAGTGTTCACATCTTTTTGTCTAAAAGTCTATTGAAACGCCATAGAGCGAAAGTTCCTAATGCGAACGGGAAAATTTTCAACTGGAGTAAAGTTCATGTAACGCCATTATTCCTTAACGAAATCAAAAGTTATTAAAATGCGAAGTTCTCCATCAGTAGGACAACCGATCTGTAAAAAAAAATTCAGAAATGTGCTCTCGTTTGTGTATACTAACCGTTTTATTATACACATGTTTATTTCGTTCGGATTAAGTGACTTATCTTATTGCGAACGTTTCTCTTTCTTTTATTCCCTAATGCGAACGGTCCATTCAAATACACGTGTTTTTTTTACAGAATGGGAAAAAAACACTGTTTCAAGTGGAAAAAAGTCCAAATCGACTCAACCTATTGCTGGCAAAAATGTTCCCTGAATTCTCAGTAATCTGTTGATCTAATAATTTTTAAAAACTATTGAGCCTATCGTGAGATATGACAAATATAAGTGAACTATATAAGTGAATACATTGTGAGCTCCACGGAACACTAAACCCTTGAGGATTTTGAATGTAAGGCAAGACACAACTATGACTATATGGTGGAATTTGTACATTTAATGGTTTCATTGTTTGATAAGTATCTGTCGACATTGTGCTGAATGAAGATGTTGAAACATCATCTTGACATGTTGATAAAGTAGTAACATTCAATGAAACTGGTTTTTGTCTTTTTCCTACAGCCACTTTATCTTTCATTGCTTGATTATCAAATGGCCATATACCACTTCGTGCAAACGATGATACGACTTGTCTTTTTGTACAAATTTGTTCATATACGTGATTTATTAAACCAAGAAAATCCGGTTTTCTAATGGCGTTATAACCTTGTTTCTTATAACTGCTCATAACTTTATACCAATAAGACTTTACTACACCCAAAATAACAAGATCGAGAGGTTGTAAACCGTGTGTTGTGTGGGGAGGTAGTACTAACAAAATGATATTGTTTACAATCGCTAATTCAATACAAGTTACATTAACGTGTGCGCCGAGTCCATCCAGTACCAGAAGAAGTGGTCGTGGTAAATGTTGTGTTTGTGCAATAAAACTATTTGTGAATCACCATGTAAACAATTCTTCGTTCATCCAAACAGTGTATTCTGTACCAGATGGACCTCCACAACACCAACTGGAGCACAAATTTTTTGCAGCATAAACAATGTATGGCGGTAGCATATCACCACTGGCACTAATACACATTAAACACGTCGTGAACGATTTTCCAGTACCACCATTATCTTCATAAACATGTCTTTCTCCCCTTGGTACTATAACTGTTTCAACTAACGAAAAAAAAAATGTCTATAGGTAATGTAGTCTGAAATTCTTTATCAATGTGTGTTTAAGCTACCTTTTGTGCGGTCAGAGAAGCTAGTTTCATCACAGTTGAAAATCTGACTTGATTTGTCGAATAACTGATTTTTTGACATAATATCGTGTAATAAATTAAACCAACCAACGCGAACTTCTTCAGTAAAACCGGTTTTTCGATTTTTCTCTAATTTCTTTTCAGACATGCACTTTAATTCATTTTTCCAACGATTAAGAAAATTGCATAACCATTTTTTACCTGGTACATACATTGTAATATTATGAACCTTTTTATTATCACTGTTATTCGTAACACGTTGAACATAACCAAGCAATTTCAAATAATGAGCAGCATACTTTCGTACGATTGATTTTGTAAACTTGGTTCCATAATACTGTGCGTATTTAATCAGCGATACAAAATATTGTTCTTCTTCTTCGCTTAATAATGTTTTTCGATCAACACCTATTTTTAATTGTGAATTTCGTGCATGATTACGAATTGTACTTTCTGGTACTTTAAATGTTTTTGCTGCTTGAACAGATGTCATTGAACCAGATTTATATGCTGCAACAGCATCCTTCACATTTTCAGATGTGTATTGTGGTTTACAATATGAACGAGATGAACTAGGAGTACTCATTCTGAAATAATAGTATAAGGAAATAGTAGTAAATAATGAGAACTACACAAACGAAAGATTTATCTTATAATAATTTACACTTAAGAATGACGAATTCTCTATTACCATGCAGACTGCTGAATTGTTGAGAAGAGCTAAAGAATGGATTCCAGCCTCAGAGTTAGACTGGTTTCGTGAAGTA